TGATTACTACATATAGTTGTAACTTCTTAATTTAAGCTGTTGAAGATGCAACATACTTTTTAATTTTTTTTTTTACGGAACAAATTAATTTCATAATGGTTTGGTTCACAGCATCAACAGGTCATAGCTAATTTTAGCTAGAAATGCCTATTTATTGACCTGATCAGGTCTGAGTCGTAGGCTCAGCGTGCATGCAAGCTTCCCTGCAGTGCCGGAGACGACCTCTAAGGTTTTTTTTTTTGTAAAGCACACAGAGAATGAAGCGGGTGTTGTTAGATTTACACCAGAGGAGGGATCATCACTCTAATAATGGGCTCAACAATAACCAATTAGCCCTGCCTCTGCTGCTAAATCTTTTATGATGTTACCTTTGCACCAGTTCTTATAACTGGCTGCTAAACTTTGACATTTTCTGTTTGTGCAGCTTCCTTCTCTTCATTTTCTAGTCATTGAATTACATGGATGATTAATACATGTTTATGTTTTTGTCTTGATAACTTACATTATTAACAAGACATTTATTAACGGAAGCATTCAAGTTTTTTTATTTGGCCATAAAAGGGACAGTAGAGTTTTTAATGAGTTACTATCTTTCTAAACCCCAGGGTACAGCCTAAGTAAGCTGAGGTCATGTTTGGGTTCATTAAATAGATCAGCTGCAGAAGGCTCAGCCTTTTTGTGAGCATTGCAACATCAACAAATAAAACAGCATTGGCCGCAAATCAGTGATAGACCATAGCTCTTAGAAATCAGATAGCATTTGCAGAACGTAACCATGTGTTAACACTGCAAATAAAAAATATATTCTAAATAGAAATTGACAATTGTGGGTGTTTCAATTGCTAATACAGATGCCGATATGTAGGGGTGATGGTAAGCTGATATGTGCTGCCAATATTTAGTTCCACTTTTTCAAGATATCTAGACATTTTCCACCTTGCTTGCTTAGATGTTAAAATATCACAAACAAATGCACAGCATCTGATGCTAATGCTGCAATAGCAAAGTTGGAAAAACAAACTAGCTTAAAACATTGTTTTTCATGCCTCTTAACAACATTTTAATCCAGCATAGCTATAGATTTATTGTGGACTTTAAAAAAAACGAAAGAAAAAAAAATGAAATAAGGGGTCCTCTCACATTTGTCTAAAGACCACCACACTTCTGCATTTCCCTCGGTCCTCCACTCATGATGTGAGTGGAGGACCCATGTTTACATAAAAACAGAGGAGGAGAAACAGCTAGCTGCTACCACTTAAACTTGGGACGAACTACCAGAGTCCCAAAAAAGAAAAACACCATTTGAAGTCACGGAAAACAAAAAAAAAAGTTGGGACCTAGGAAACGGTGACTGTTGCTTAGCACTATCTCGTTTCCTCTGGCAATGTGGGTTTCCGGTGGACGGGGCACAGGGATGATTCCCGACAAGAGGGATTGGAGTTCCGTGACCCTATTTGCTTGAAAAGCCATCTTGCTCTCTACATTTTCTATTGCAGCTTTAATTAATAACATAAATAAAAAAATAAAGATTGTACTGAAACCACAATAGCAACATGCTTAAACACGCCAGCAAAATCTTAAGTGCATTCAATCTTTTTAGCTTTATACTAATAATTCTTGACAGCTTGTTCATGTAAACTACAAATTAAACATTTTACTGCAATTAACTTGGCAGCTGCATCTTAACAACAATCCTCATTTCTGAGCCTGGCTATTGAGATTTCCTATTTAGATATTGGCGGTTCTGCCTGACTTTAGGTCAGCTCTTCTAAAGAGAATTTTCCAGCTATATATATATTCAGAAACGGTAAACATCAGCGCAATATATCAGCCAACCAATATATCAGTCTATTTCTTATACTGAAAAACAGTAGTTTAGCAGAGCCATTCTTTTTCAGCAAATAGACTTGAGTCATACATGTACGTACACATATACAAACTATTAGACCTCTTTAAATTGGTACGTTGCATGTGTTGTAATTTTTCAAACTTTATTTAGACATTTTAGACGAATGAATGGAACTTTTCAGAATCCATTTTCTGTTTTTCTTTTTTCGAAGGCAGTTAAGATCCAAATAAGGTGTTCAGATTTGGTCAACGAACATGGAACCATCATGAGCTTTCATCTACATAAAAGTTTGAGAGCCTTAGTTAGCACAGACCACATATGCTGTGCTCTGAATAACAAGCTAGTAAATCTATGTTTGGTTAACCAACTCTATCCCATTAAAGATTAAGGGCTCATTCTCTGCTTTTTCCCGTCTCTCTTTTTAATGGGGTTATTATGATCCATGCGGAAGGTTGCTCTGAGCTATTGTTAAATAATTTTCACATTCTTGTAACATTCTTGCTAGTGGGCCAGAAGTAATTGGATTTTTTGTCAACATGAACAGGGCAGGTATGGCAGGTATAAGAAGCAGTCATGCAGCAAACACACCCAACAATACTAATTATAACTTAGAGAAGTTTTGCTGTTAGGGAATCTATTGCTGTCTGCTTTATGTAGAGGCCAACTTTACCTTGAAGCACCTTGTGATTTTTATCTTGAGAGGCGCTATAGAAATGATATTTTCTTCTTCTACCTCAGCGGCATGGTAGTAATACTAATAATTCATAATAAATAAAAGTTTTTATTATTGAATGCAATAAAGATCAGACTGAAGTGGAATGCTTTCTGAGTTGTTAATTTCCTGATTTAGGTATGATGTGGTGAAAACTCACTGTTGGGTGTGCCTGTCTAAATACTGCTTACTCACACACACACACACACACACACACACACAGTTTGTAGTCATGACAACGTTGTTATCATAGTACGTGTGGACAGCAGTAACACCACACAGTCTGCACTGTTTTAACAACCTTCTTCATGATTGTGCTGAACTGTGCTTTATGTTAAATCCACTGTTGGATTGATTTATGTAAATTCAGCATTTCATCACATATTAAGGTAAATCAATGATGCACAGCAAACATGCAATATCCCCCTTTTAAAAATGAAACCAACGTAATACAGGTGGTGTTTAAATAAATTGTTTACTTACTGGGAAACTTTAGTATTTCCTAACACCTCTGTAAAGTGACTGCCCGAGATAAAAGCACAATCAAAAATAATTTTAAACACCATCACTAACTGAATTAGAAAAGTACGGCGGCCTTTCTTTGGATTTTTACACTGATTATAAATGAAAACTGACTATCCCAAATATAAAGAACATATTTGCTGTTGTCCTGTACACAAAGTCTTATTTTAGAACTTGGCTTCTGGATGAAGGTTCAGAATATGTGGATGGTTGTGGTGGTTTCCGAGGAGAGTCAAATGGATTTTGAACAGTTGGTGACTGGAAATGGATAGTTTCAGCCTAAGTGGTGACCGGCTAGGGCTGGATGATAAGGCCTAAAATCAATATCACAATATCTTGTGGATTTCACCTCGATAACAATAAATGGACGATAACTACATTTATGTGCAAAAACAAAGGTTGTCCACTAGATGGGCTGTATTATACTGAGTCACTTTGTCATGTGACTGGAAGTACTACAGCTTCTTAGTGACTTGAACGTCACCAACCTACACACGTTTTTTCTTTTTTTTATTATCAGATTTATTGACATAGGCACAATGATGTTGAGTAGAGTCAGAAAATTTGATACTGATACATTTTTGATATATCGCCCAGCCTTAAGACAGGCTTACAGTGAACTCATGAGGTCATGTTTCATTTGTAAAGAGTATCAGAATTAGAAACTAAGTTTTTTGTATTTTATTTATTTTTACCCCTGAACTTAAAAACCCATCACAGATGATTGTGTTGGCGTAGCACATCTTTGATATTGGCATTAATAAACAAAAAGAAAACTGCATTTGTATCCAAATAAAAGTGTTTTAAACAAATGTAATAAATTGGTATGAAGGAATTCTTGACACGGAGGGTGTTGTGTGCAAGTCTGGAGATGAGCTGTGTTTTAAAGGCGTGATGATCTTTTCTGTCATTTAGGTTTGGTTATGACTGTACATGTTAACCGGATGCACCTGTGGTTTGTCCAGAGAAACTTTGCAGTTTGTTTAATGCTAAAATGTTTCCTGTCTCCAACCCTGTGTTTTTTTTTCCAAGTACAGTACAGTTTCTTGTGTAATAACACACAATCTACTCAGCCTATTGTCAGCGGTGTAGTTCCGTTCTGTGGCCAACATTACAGCCACAACATTTGCTTTTTTTCCTTTTTTCTCTCTGGTATCGTGAGTGATTTGTAGCAGCTATGAGAGAGGACTCCTATTCCTGCCCCCTTCATACGGTTCTTATTTACTTACACTTAGTTTCTTTCTTCTTTTTTTTAATCTTATCTTTAAAAGAGAATCAATGCTAAATCTCTGTTTCAAAATAAAAAATGTAAAAAATCTCAGAGAAATTAAAATTTAACTTCAGGGTTACTTGCACATAGTACTTTTGAAGTTCACCATTGTCTTGGAAAGTCACCCTCCAGAACTAAATATTGATTAAGTCCTTCTGTTGAACTTTTATTTATATTCATGTCAAACAACCCATGACCTGTTTTATTCAGCTTGTAGTTTTTTTGATCATTTTGTGGAGGAAAGTAGTTTTGCATGCACTGCTCCTCTTTAAGGTTGATGTTTTTATGAGGGTGAAGCACCAAAAGGAATGTAGCGCTTCACAGAAACATCATTTGGTGTACGCTGACATCTAGTGGTTAAATCTTGGTTGTATTTGTCCTTTTTCTTTTAGCTTAATTTAGAAGCTCTGATCTCTAACATAGCACACCTTCTGGGTAATCACAAAACCCCAAATGAAGAACTGGATTAAGTTTTAATGACGTTTGGTGTTCCTCTCCCAATTTAATCTGTCTAATAATAATTTCTGTCTAATTGATTCTTTATTTTTCTTCCTCTCCTCCCTGTTACTTCTCCACTCTTTCACCTTGCCAACTTTCCTGTCCCTTCCTTGTCACTTTTCGCCCTTTGATCTGTTCATACCCTATAGAAACTCAAACGGCTGATTCCCGATGAGGTAGGTTTGTTTCTTTTATGTGTGCTTTCCTCAGATTTTCCTCACTTGTGGCTTTAGTCATCGACCTGCCCTTGTGTGTTTAACACTCATGTTGTCATTTGTCAGAGGCCTAATCCACCATTACACCCTTGCTGTTGAATGTTTTGTCTTGTGCTGTATTTACATTGGATGTGCTCATAGCATGGATGATTGGCACATCGATTAGTGATGCCTTGATGTATTTGCAACAGGTCACTCATGTGCCATGATTTCATGTGTCTTTAACTAAATGTTACTCAGTGTTTTTGTGGATTGGTGGTTCACACAAAGTTTTACAAATCACAACTTTTGTAAAACTTTGTGTTTCGTTGTTTCTCACCAACATGCCTACAGTCCCTAACCATCGAGAGCCTTGTGCTGTTGGAGATCTTAGCCCTTTTCAGATGAATGGTTTGTGCCTTTGTCAGATTGTTGGAGACATTTATGAATCTTCTTGGATGACCTGACAATTTGTGATTATACAGATATTTTGATGTTTACTGATTTATGATACCAAAATAGTTTTTTTTATTTATAATTGATGGAACAGGAGGATTGCCAAGACTAATGAAAGATTAATGGATGTGTAAAAATACTGTATGCAATTTTTTGCATGTAGTGTTTGATTTTCTTATCAGTTGGTCTAAACCAAAAAAAAAAAAAAAAAAAGCAAAATTGTCCCTTAGTTTATTAATGTTATGCATTACTAATTTAAGATCATGTACATTAATGTCAATATTCTGACTAGAACATAACATCTGAAAGGGGTTCAAATCAAACAGACGTAAAATATGTGAAGGCTTAACACAACATATCACCTGGTGGATGACATGAAAGTGGATGTGAGGATTCGTAGTCAGTCTGTTCTGTCTTTCAAAACAACGTCTATGTTTCTGTTTGCTCATCTAGTTGGAGCGCTTCACCAGCATGAAAGCAAAGAAAGACAAGGAGAAGCCCAGCCAGATGCCAGGCCAGCGACATTCTTCAGCCGCCAGCTATGAGATCAGTTCTCAGGGTGCCATGCTGGATGTTCACTCTGATGAATACGTCCTGGAACTTTTTGAGCAGATGTTGGTGAGAAAGAAAAGACATTTGTGAAAGTTTCAGCTTTTGGGGAGTCTCATGAATTCATTATCTTGCTTTTGCAGCTTAGGAAATGTGTAATCCTCACGATTACTGAATCACTCACTTATTTAAGACCCTTCATGTGGGATTTCAGTCCGCAGTTATGAAGTTCTGTGTTTAGTCTAACCACATATACTTTGACAAAAATGCTTAAAAGCTAAATGAAATGGTTGAAATCCAGAGTTAAATTATCCAGCAGTCTTGTTTAATGTGTTTGTTTATTTCAATTACTACATGACAAATATTGAATGTAATCTTTGTAAAAACTTGCTTTTAATCAGTGCTTTAACACTCTGCTATGATTGAAGTCTTTGTTTTGTTGAAAATGAGCTCATTTCTTTCTTTGCTTTAGGTGGACATGAACCTGAACGAGGAAAAACAGCAGCCGTTGAGACAGAAGGACATCTCCATCAAACGAGAGATAGTTTCCCAGTACCTCCAAAGATCTAAAAATGTCAGTATTTTACATGTGGAAAAGATAACATATGTATTTGTGCTCCAGATTTGCCGTTTTGGCTTATGTTTTAAAGGTAGGATGCATGTTGGTTGATACTGTTGCTGCAACCATTTATTAATTTGTTTCATTCTTTCTACCATTACTTGATTTTTAAGTTGTACATAACCACCGTTGGTATATTAAACATTAAAGTTTAATAAACTCTGATCATGACATCCTGGCACATCTAAACAAATAGGACTCCTGAAACCAGTACAGATGGCCAGATTCAGAGTTGTTTTTCAGCCACTGGACCTTGGTAGCGCACAGTCACTGGCTTGACCAATAAATCCTCTGTACACCAACGTGGACTCAAATATGAGGCCACCTGACTACTAAATCTCAGCCACAGTGGGGTCACACAACCAAACGATGATCCTGGGTGCAGCTGCAATTTTACAACTGGTTATAAGAAATGCCTGGAGGTGATGAAAGAGGATTTTTGAGGCCTTGACCTGCTTTAAATTTGGTGGTAGACCCTCAATAGAGTGGTCTATAATCTTCGAATAGCCAGACACCTCATTGAGCTGAAAAGTGTGTGAGAGAGAAACTGAAATGCTCACTGCTTCACAAAAAGGGGTTAAAAAGATTTAAAATAGGGTTGAGCTTTCCTGAACACTGCTTGTTTCATATCTGATCAGTGTAATTTTTTAACCTTTATTAATGTTTTCAAACTTTGACTAATAACATGTATTATGAATTGAGGACTAGAAGATTTTTCTCCTGTTAGACAAAAGCTCACAAGTTAAACTAACTTTTAATCCTGAGATGAACTAAGATTAAACACTTTACACCAAGTACCTTTTAACTATGTTAGTGAATTTAAAATCAGAACACTCAGTCTGCTGTGTTTCTGCACTTGTCAGGTCCTAGAACAGACGGAGAGTTCCAAGGCAGCGGTGATGTACATCCAGGAGTTAAAGTCAGACTACAGGGAGACACAACTTCTGAGCTGTCTGGAATCACTACGAGTCTCACTCACCAGCAATCCTGTCAGGTACCGCGTACACTTCAGACTAGTTTCCCCTTGTTTTGTGTTTAATCTCTGTTCGTCACTGGTATTTCAGTTCCAAACTAGTTCCTTTGTGCTACTGGTACAACACTGCCCCTGACGTGTTGGGATTAGTAGTTGGATAAGTGCTTCATGAAGTGAAAAGTTATTTTATTTAATTTTTAACCTGCAGATATCAACAGGTGCTGCATTAAGACTTGACAGCAGCTGCCTTCCTTTTGTTGAACATGGTTTAGTTATTGAAAGGTTTTCTACTCACTGGTTTCGACTTGTTCCATCTAGCACTGAAACCTCATTGTTGTTGTGGAGGTATGTTTACTAGGGTTTGGGAATAAAAATGTTTGCAGCTTTGAAGCATTTATGAGCACATCTGTGCACATTGATTGTTGCCTTTATAAAGAAAAGTAAAGCTCTGCTGTTCCATCGACTGCCTCGGGCCAAAACATACGCACCAGAACCAGCAGTTCCCCTCTGGGTTCAAGTCACTTTTGCTTTAGCATTCAGTGTTTATCAGGTTTTCCCTCTTGGAAGTCTTTTGGGGGGAGGGGGTTAGAGAATCAATCAGGGGGGGGGGGGGGGTTGTTCTTAATATATTTATTGTAGCATGTGGTAATTTTTTGTTGTCACCTTTTTCACACCCTCTGAGCTTGCAGGAATGAATGTTCATGCCATTCATAGAATTGCAAAATGTTATTACATTACATTATTTTCAGTGTTTCCCAAAATCTTCATGTTGTTATAAAATCAATGAACACAATTGGAGGTAAAACTTTGGGAATCTAAAAGTGACTTGTTTTGAGTTGGACTGTAAAAAATCATGTAAGCTGATGCTTCAGTAAACATAACAATATAACTGAAGTAAACACCAAAAGCACATAAACACAAATAACATCAGGATGGTATAATAATAATAATCATGTTTTGTCGATCCCAGCTGGGTGCAGAATTTTGGAAATGAGGGTCTGGCTCTGCTTTTGAATCGTCTGAGGAGGCTGCAGGAGGAGAAAGATGATGTCCCGTAAGTGATGTGAATCATGACAAAGGACACATGTCATTCTTATGGATGTTGATGTGTTTCTAATACTTTTTTATGTTTGTCATCCACATTGTAGAGGGATGGGAGTAAAATGTCAGCATGAGATCATTCGTTGTCTGAAAGCCTTCATGAACAACAAGGTAAGACTCTTAGCGAACATCAAAATATCTCACGTGACCAGTTTATAGTTTTATTTATTAGGTATAATGATCTGATTGTGCAGCAGTTTGTCCACTAGAGGGCACAATAAATATAATTTAGCCCACTTTGAACAGGTCAATCCATCACCATAATTTATGACAATTTATTTATTCTTTATTTGTGAGGAGGTTAAATTTGTTTATAGCAACAAAATATTTTACTGCGTTTTTCCTTGACAAAAATATTAATTATTTGGCTCTGAACAATATTAAATAGTTTGATGTATGAATGTATGAAAAGGACTGTGACTTATTTAGTTGACTAGCTTTAGCTTTATTTTATATTAATACATATTAAATATGAATGTTTGCCATTTAAAAATCAGTGACTTGCAGTCATTATACACTGTAAATAGATCTTGTGTCATCTTCATCCCGGACTTTTCTTATTTTTGCCTTTTTAAATAACTTCTACAGTGTGATTAGGAAATGATGTATTCTCATTGTGCTTGCTTCCTTTGTGTTTAGTATGGCTTAAAAGCCATGCTGGAGTCAGAGGAGGGAATTCCTCTGCTGGTCAGGTCCATGGTCCCCAGGGTACCAGTCATGATGGTGGATGCTGTCAAGCTGCTCTCTGCCATCTCCATCCTGGAACATCCAGAAAACCTGTAAGAAGGAGCAGTTAATGCACAGAAATGCCGAACTTTGAATTTCAGTCTCAGATCAAACACAAGCCTTGTTCCTGTGTGTCGGGTTTGAGTAAATGGCTGTAAATGCTGATTGTAAACTGTTAAATCTGTACCTTACCGTATGTGTTGTGTAGTAATGAGCGTGTTTTGGAGGCCATGACAGAGGAGGCTGAGAGACGGGACATGGAGAGGTTCCAGGCTCTCCTAACTGGAATGAACATTCAGAACATTGCTCTGAAGGTAAATGGTCCATATGGACTTGAGCTCAAGAATGTTTAGAATTTAGATTTTTTTCTTCAGATGGTCCCAAACTGGATGGAGGTGTATGATAATACTTGATCTTGTGTTGCGTGTGTGAAAACCTTAATGTTGTGTATACC